TTATTTCTCCATCAATTTTGAAAGATAGTTTTGCAGGGTACATCAGTCTGGGTTGTAGGCTGTTTTCCTTTGGGGCTTGGAATACATCACTTGAAGCTCTTCTTGCCTTGATGGTTTGTGTTGAGAAGTGTGCTGTGATTCTGATGGGCTCTCCTTTGCATGTAATGTGTTTCTTTTTCTCTAACTGCTTGTAGAATTTTGTTCTTCTGTTGGGTTTCTGGAATCTTAACTATTATATGCCTATGTGAAGATTCTTTTTGATCAAGACTAGTTGAAGTCCTACATGCCTCACTTTATCTGTATGTCCAGTTCTTTTCCCTTGTTTGGGAAGTTTTCTACCATCACTTCTGTGAACAGTTGTTTTATGTCATCTGTGCTCTCTCCTGTTTCTTCATTGACTTTGATCAGTCTTATGTTATTCTTCTTTCCATCGTCTAGCAGCTGCTGGATTGAGTTCTTGTTGTCCCTTACTATTTTAAAGAAATTTTTTTTTCCTGGTCTGTAATTGCAGTCCTATCTTCTATGTCTGAAATTCTATCCTCACATTGGCTCATTCTGCTGTGTAGATTTTAATGGAGTTTTTAATCTCCTTGAAATCTGTTTGTATCTGTTTTATGGATTCCATTTGTTTCCTATTTTGGGATTCCTCAGCTCCTCTATTTTTTTATCTGTGTCCTCTCTAGCTTTATTAATCGTGTCTTACAGTATGGGCACAATCTCTTTCTGTTATCTGAGAAATTATTTCTGATTTCATTTTTTCTAAATCCTCTGTTGTTGCCAGTGCAGGGAGTCCAGGTGGTTCAGTATCAAAGTCTTCCATCTCTTTTCCCTTTGGGGTTGCTATTGTTGATATGGAAATCTGGTTTTGAAACTTGTTAACGTGTCTTCTCATTTCCATGGGGGTCGTGGTGTATGGCTCACCTCCTTTGTGCTGGGGGTGGTGGTATGGTGGCCCGGAAGCCTCCTCCTCTCGTGCCATTGATTTTTAAATTACAAATTATTGCTTGTTTTAAAAATTAAAAATTACTAGATCGATTATTAAAGTTAATTAAAGTATTTTATTACATTCTCTGTTTTGGGAACTATATGTAGTCATTATCTGCTTATTGGAAAACAATTATTTAGCTTCAAATACTTTTAACATAAAGTTTACTTATGATTTCATGTATTGCTTTTCTTTCTTCCTGATAGGCTTTCAAGGATATGCTGTATTCAGCTCAGGACCAGGCACCTTCTGTGGAAGGTAAGATGAATTAATCTTTAGGTTTAGTCACAGAAAACTTAGTTTTTATGAAAAAATTCTGAAGTACAAAGTATAAAAGTAGTGTGCTAACTTTCCCTTGGTTTTGGTAATGTGATTATCTTACAGTATTTTAATCTTTTTTTTTTTTTTGGTTTAGCTCACATTTACCCTAGGTAGGGTGGATCTTGTAGTAGGTCCTTATATCTTTTTAGGACTATGAATCATATATTAGTTTAGTCAAAGTTCTTTTCTGTATTTTGCTGGGGTTTTTTTCAGGACCTTGCATTTGCAAGGCAGGCAGTGGAGCCACTGAACTAAATCCGCAGCTCCTTTTCTGTATTTTGCTTCCCTCCACCAATTTTTTTTTTTTTCCTTACGGGGTTTGAACTCAGGACCTCGTGCTTGTGAGGCAGATGCAGCCCCAGTGAGCTAAATCTCCAGCCCCTCAATGTATTTTTATATGCATCCACCCACCCACCCACCCTCTTCCTCTTTCCCTTCCTTCTGTGAATCTTTAGTCCATAATTAAGGCAACATGACATTTCCTTTCTATTTATGAATTGTCTTTAGAATGAGACTAAACAGTGGAGAATGTTTACTCTGTGTGCCCGCATAGGCATGTGTGTACATGAGTGAGTGTGTGTGTGTGTGTGTGTGTGTGTATCAGCAGGCATGTTTATGCATGTGCAGAGTTTGACAGTCATAAAACAACTAGCCTCAGGACAGTGATTACCTCTCCAATTATCTTTATTGATCTTTCATTTTCCATTATTTCAACTTCTGTTCACCACTTTATTCTTTACAGGATCAAACTTAGATAGGTTTGGAGATGCTTTTTTAAGTTGTATGAGTGCTGGTATCAGTAAAAAATAAGGGCCAACTCAACAATTACTGAGGAAGTGTTCCTTTTGATGCTGGGAACTCTTAAAATTCTGCGTCAGACTTTTTCAGGAAAGATGAATGTGAAAAAGTGTTTGTCAAGAATTTCTTATTGTGTGTCCTGAGTAACATCTTTATAAAAAGACACTATATGAGTATTCTATGAAGTCATTCCTATTAGAACTATTAGAGACCTGTTTTTATGACATACATTTATACATACAGATGCTGCAATCATTTAATACAATTATATGTCTATAAATATGTGTCATTTTTTAGTGACATAGCCATCTTGAACCATTCTGAATTAAAAATATGCTGTCTCAGCGCCGGGGATTTAGCTCAGTGGTTTCGCCGCCTGGTGAGCAAGTGCAAGGGCCCGAGTTCGATATCCGGTACCAAAAAAAAAAAAAAAAAATTGCTGTCTCCTAGCATCTCAAAATCTTATCATTTTAAACTAGAGTATTTGCACTTAGATATTAAATAATATATCACTGAATTTTGGATTGTAATGTATTTATTTTTGAATATTTCACTTGTGACACTTAAAATTTATCAAAATCTTTAGGTTCTTTATTGGGCTATCTTATTTTATGTCCTCTAAAGAATTCCTCCTTTGAGTATTATAAAAATATAAGAAAAATAATAATTACATAGAAGTTAAATGGATTTCCTTGCATTAATAATTGTTTTGGTTTTTATTCTGATATTCAAGTTTATAAAAAAGTACTGATATTCATGGTTAAAAAAAGGTTTCTGTTCAGTTTTTTAAAGTTTTTTTTCAGTTTGTATCGCAAACATACTGAGATATGTTTAAAAGTTATGATGGTATTTATTTGTTCCCTTTTGTGCTGGAGCATATTTGCAGTAATTTTTTTCAGTTACTTTCAGTAGTGTATTAGCTTCTCATTGCTGGCACACAATACCCAATACCAGCACCTTAAAGGAAGAGAGGTTTAATTTACCTCAGAGTTTCAGAGGCTTTCATTCCAGGGTCAGTTCCAAGGCAGAAAGGAGTGTCATAGTGGAAGGGCATGCTAGAGCAAGATGCTTCTGGCAGCCTGGAAGCAGAGAAGAGGAACAGCTCCAGAAAGCAAGGGGACGGGACATAGGCCCCAAGGCCAGACCTCCACATATTACCCAGATAGACCCAAATATGTGTGGCACCAATCATATGGGTGGATTCCAGAGCCAACAGATGTTTCTTTCACAAACTGAATTTTGGGAAATTATGCTCAAAATAACAAATACAGTTAAAAACTTTTTTCTTTATCTTATTGCCCACAGACATTCACTTCTTTGGATCTGTGATGTGAGGATTATTGTAGGCCAGTCATACAGGAGCGTGTACAGCTTTCACAAAGGAAATACTCTAAGCTTGTTCATACTTTCTTTGTACTTTCTGTAAACATACTACAGCTTTGTAGTTTTTATCTTCATAAACATGAATTTTTCTTTTTTGAAACACTGGAGAATTGGTATAGGAAAATGCTTCAAGAAAACATCCTGAGTGGTATCAAAGTTAGAAAAAGTTATTAAAGTGACTGTAATTGTTCTGTTGTTGTCATTGTGGTTTTATATTAATTTACTATTGTTTATATGGTATTATACTTTAATAATCATTTCTATATCTTACTTTGCTACTTAGTTTGTGTTTTAAGGCTTTTGTTTAGCAGCGTTTATAAAATAGCACATTCAGATTTGTCAGAAAAGTTCAAGATAGTACTTAAATTTTAACTTTTTTAAAGGGAAAAATACTTGGTAGGTTTGGATTGTTTTTGTAATATTATCTTTCTCACTTTACTTTGTTCTTTTTCTTTTTCCTAAGTTTTAATAGACTTAAAGCTTTTGGTGCCAGAGACCCAGTTGTCTTTTTAATCTTAAATAAGTGGTTCCCAGATCTGCCTCACCTTTGGCTCATATGAGGGTCTTTATAAAAAGAAACAAACAAAAAGCACCTCAAATACTGGCCTCCATATCAGACCAACTGAAATAGGATTGGCGGGAGGTGGAACACAGGCATTGGTACTGATGGCTGGTATTGGTATTGATTTTTTAAAAAAAATTTCTCCTGGTGATTCTAATGTATAATCATATAATCAAAGTATAGAACCTCTGTCATAAAACTTAAATAATTTTAGCTCAGTGTGTTAATGCTCAACATTTGGGCATTAATTATCCAGTAGGTTGATAGGCTTCTTAAGTTGATTGGTCATTTGATTATATTATTAGTACAAGGGAGCATTTTTTCGTGTTCATAGTATGTAGAGATGTTTAAAAATAGTTATTGTACTGAATTAATTATAAGTAAAACTATACCAAGTTATCTAAATATGTTAAGTGGTTATAACTTACTGTTAGGATTAAAATATATATTTTATGACTTCTTTGTTTATGATGGATTCTCATAAAATAAGTAGCTTCCTCAAATTTTGCTCCCTTGATGAATGTGAATGATTATGGTAAAAGAAATAGATTCTTTGAGTGAAACGGTTTGATAAAAGTGTATTAGTTAAAAGGAGTAATGTGAAGTCTTTTGCTGATAAGAAGTTGAATCTAGGGCTGGGGATTTGGCTCAGTGGTTCCACTGCCTGCCTCGCAAGCGCAAGGTCCAGAGTTCGATTCCCATACCAAAAAAAAAAAATTGAATCCAGACACTATTTCTTTACTAGTGAATTGTTATTTTCTTCTAATTTAGGACATTTTAAGATGGTACCTCTTTTCTTTATGATAAAGTAGGCTTTTTTTTCTAATTAAGTCAACCAAAGTAATTTCAGTGATTTGAAAAGTTAAGGAGAATTTAAGTTGTTTTTATTAAACAAATAAACACATTCAGATTCACGGTTATTTTGTTTCATCTTTTGAGAGTTAATTTCATGAATCACATATTACAATCCAAAAATTTATTTAAAATAAATGTCTCATGTAACTAGGATGTACTCATATTCTGAAATAATATAGATAAGAATGTTCAAAGATTTACTCTATCAATTTTTATCTTCTTTGGTATATATCATTACTCCAGGTAATCTGTTATTTTTGTGTAGCTATTTACATTTGAAAATATATGATTGAGGTGATATGAATTCTGTTAGAGATGATATAGAATATTGATTTTAAATAATGGCATAAATAATATATTTTTTCCATTTATTTTCTTAATCCTTGTCTGTAGAAAGTCTTACAGGTACAAAATCCATGGCAGTAGAATAGGGTATTGACATAATTAGAATTGGGCATTTTGCTGTTGTTGTTTTTGTTTTCTCTTAATGTGGATGGACATAGACCTGACTCCATGGAGTTAAACTTTCATGGAATGATGTTCTGATTTTGAGGAAGTTTTGGAAAATGATGCTAAAAACCTTTAAAGTATATTGTGTTTTTTCTTTTTGTTGTCCAGGTCAGTGAAGATACTGCTTTGTTGGTGTTTATGACAGATTAAATTAAGCTGCAAACTACAGGTTCCCTATCAGTGAATCAGTGACACCTTAATAATCAAAATTATTCTGAGGCAAAGTAATTTTTTAGACACAAGAACAACTTTATTTTTCCGGTACCGGGGATCAAACTCAGGACCTTGTGCTTGCGAGTTAGGCGCGGTGCCATTGAGCCAAATCCCCAGTCCCAAGAACAACTCTTTTTTTTTTTCGTATTAAATTCTTTTATTGGTACATTGTAGGTGTACAACACAATTACATTTCTCATTGGGAATTGTACCTTTATATAATGCATCTTGGTTCTTATTTTGTCCCCATTCCTAGCCCTCCCTTCACCCCCTCCACCCTTCCCTATTTACAAAGACTTTATTTCCATTTTTTCCATTTCTCATCATTTTTTCCTTTCCCTTCTTTCCTTTCCCCTGCCCCTCCCACTACCCCTACTCCTTTGGACCTTTTCTTCCTATTTTACATTATCGATTATTCATTCTAATCATTGATACATTTTAGGTATACAATATAATGACATTCATGATTGGAAATTTGCACCTTTATATAGTCTCTCTTGGTTCTTATTTTTCACCCTTGCCCAGCCCTCCTTTCAACCCCTCCAGTCCTCCCTATTTAGAAAGATTTTGTTCCTGGTTTTCCATTTTCTCATATTAATCCCATTCCCTTCTATCT